ACATATGTGTATACACATACATACATACATACATACATACATACATACATACATACATACATACATACATACAAGTGTATATGTATGTATTTATGTATGCATGCATGCATGCATACATATATATATATATGTATATATATATATACATATACATAATCTTCTTATTGTTGACCCACTTGCTAGTCTTTATTAGTTTTTATTGTTGTGTATAACTGTTACTCTTACGACTTGCTATTGACTATGATTTTGGTGCGTATGTATAATCTCAACTAACTTAGTCTGACGATCACGGCCCATGCGTTATGATCCCAGCTTTTTGGCCCCAACTTGCCGACTACCGCGGAGGGTTCTGGTTCTGGGTGTTTAGGGTTCAGAAACCCTAAACCCTAAGCCCTAAACCTCAGGGTGCTAGGAGGTTGGCGTTTGGAGGATTCGGGTTCAGTGGGTTTAAGGGCCTGAGGGTTTAAAGTCTAAGTTTCTAGGAGTTTGACGGTCCAGGATTTGGGATGCAGGGTTCATAGGATTTTTTGGTGGTCTAGGATTTGGGGTGCAGGGTTCATAGAAAATGTTCAAACTTCCCATCGCAACTCCTCTATGTAACCAGAGTAATATAGGGGCCTTAATAATTACCTATACTATTCTGGGGGTTCCCCATCATCAAGATAGTATAAAGGAGCCCAAAACCCTATTCCAATTATTAATCCAGGACCCAAGACGTTTGCTCGATTTTCGAAGGCGTTTACTGTAGGGGCCTTAATGATTGGAATAGGGTTTAGGGATTAGGGTTTAGGGTTTAGGGGAATGGGTTTGGGGGTACCTTACTATAGTTATAGTACCACAGGCCCCTAAACCCTGTTGTAATGATTAATGTTTCTATATTACAGGGTTTAGGGTTAATGTAGGAGGCCGAGGTTTTGAGGCACAAATTTCAGCACAAAGCAGGGCTATTGGATCGCACCTTACTCAGCCATTATCATTTCCACCGTGATCATCACCATCTCACCATCATCGCCATCACCTTTTCGTTGTATACTATGTTGTGCAAAGAGGCGAAAGCGAGGTAAGCACCAGTATTTTGGGCATGCCCGCACAAGGCATGAACTGAACGCGTGTGACAGAGCGTCAACGTCAGCGTCCTCCTGGAGTATGATGCATAAGCTGGCAAAGCCGCTGCAAATTCCATCTTCTTAGCCTTAGACATCATTATCCCAACCCCATGCAATCCTCCGAAATGCCATGAACCTGCTAGATAGAAAACCCAAGAAAGGAACACGGCAGGACTTCTGAAGGGATGTGAGCATTCGATTTTGCAGTGCAATAGAGAAGTCTGAACAGGTAGTGGTAGTATCCCCTTCTGCCATTCCCTATGTCCTTTACAGCCATCTCCAAATTAGGGTGCCTTTTTAGGTCCCCAAAATAGTACGGCACCCTTATAAAAAAGAACCCTAAAAGGTACCCTAATTTAGNNAGAGAACTACCCATATTATCTGGAGGCGAAGAGCGTTGTGGCGTACAGTGCGACCATGGCAGCCCTCATCCGTGCTGGGCGCTGGGTGCAGGCTCATTCTGCCCTTGTGATTTGCAGGTGGTCTTGAAGGGTAACCTACACCCTAAACCCTAAACC